GGATGCATTTTGGGCATGCCCATTAGATGAGGGGTCTCCAGATATTTTTGCATTTGAGTGGGAGGATCCAGATAGTGGGAGAAAACAACAGTTAAGATGGACAGTGCTACTCCAGGGGTTCTCCAAAGCACCCAACCTCTTTGGACAAGCCCTAGAAAGCATAATGATGAAATTCAGTCCAAATAAAGAAACTACCACCCTACAATACATAGATGATCTACTAGTAGCAGGAAAAACCTAAACAGGAGTGGAGAGAGAGACAGTGCGGTTGTTAAAGTTTTGGGGGGAACAGAGGCTGAGGGTGTCAAAGAATAAACTTCAGTTCGTAGAGAAAGAGGTGAAATACTTACGGCACATCATAAAGGGAGAAGAAAAGAAACTAGACCTAGAAAGAATAAAAGGAATACTAGACCTTCCCCTACCAAAAACAAAGAGGGGAAATAAGGAAATTTTTAGGATTAGTAGGGTTCTGTAGATTATGGATTCCAGATTATAGCAGTAAAACCAAATTTCTATGTAAGAAATTACTAGAGGGGACTTCTGTGAGAGGTAATTGGGCAGAATATTCCTCAGAAGAACAAGAAAAATTTGGAAAACTAAAAGAAGTCTTGATTCAGGCTCCAGTACTATCACTACCAGATCTAAAAAAGCCTTTCAATCTTTATGTCAGTACCTCAGAAGGTATAGCAAAAGGGGTAGTGACCCAGGAGTGGGGAGGAGTCAGAAAACCCGTGGCCTTCTTATCAAAGTTCTTAGACCCAGATATCAGGGGATGGCCAACTTGTGTGCAGGCAGTAGCGGCCACAGCAATACTGTTAGAACAGACTAGAAAACTGACCTTTGGAGTGAAGATCAGAGTGCGCACTCCTCATGCAGTAAGAACAATTTTGACCCAGAGATTAGGAAGGTGGATGACAGACTTGTGAATTTTAAAATCACAAGATTTTACAGAATTACCTCTAGTACAGTGATGGAAATATCTCCTCGTAATTGTAGATCATTTAACTCATTGGGTAGAGGCACTCCCAGTCCTAAGAGCTACCACACAAAGTGTAGCCAAAGTATTATTGGAGCAAATAATCCCTAGGTTTGGGATACCTGAAACTATCAACTCTGACCGCGGACCACATTTTACCTCAAAGCTCCTAAAAATAATATGCAAAGCTTTGCAGATAAATTGGCAGTATCACATTCCATGGCATCCAGAGTTCAGGGAGAGCAGAACATATGAATCAAATCTTGAAGCGAACAATCACCAAATTAACATTAGAAATGGGGCTTCCCTGGACCAAACGCTTACCTCTGGCCCTTTTTCAAATCAGAACGGCCCCCAAGCAGGACTTGAATTTGTCTCCATATGAAATGTTATTTGGGCTACCTTACCCCACATATCATAAAAATAGTAGTAAGACCCCTACTGTGGAAATGGGTGATAAGCCTCTCACGGAATATATTACAGAAATAGCAAAAGGACTAGAAAATCTCAGGCAACGGGATTACTGCCTCAAACTGCCTCAAAATTTTATGAAAATAATATGAAAATGAAAATACACAACATTTCTGCAGGGGACTGGCTTCTAATATAGACTTGGAAGGAGGAGTCACTAAAACCAGAATGGGAGGGACCTTACCAGGTGATACTGACTACTGAAACAGCTGTGAGGACAGTCGAGAAATGATGGACCCATAGTGCAAGAGTCAAGGGACCAGTAAAGTCCCCCCCGTGTCGTCCCTGAATGGGAATGCCAAGGGGACTACCGCAAGTTGAAAATAACTCAAAAGTAAATCTCTTGCAGAATTCAAGAAGAAGGATTGCAGAAAGACATCATCTTGCTGTGGAGCAAAACAGGATCTCGTTCATGGGAAGGGACACTGGTGAAGTATCAGCCAAACTGTAAGAACAAGACACGAACACAAGAGATAGGCTTAAAGTGTGATAATTGTGAATACATCATCTCTTTATATAGAACGTTGTGAGTCAAACATTACTGTCATTGCACAAAAGATTTGTGCAAACAATGGTATAATAACTTCACTGGCTTTTAGCCCTTAATATTACGAAAAGAACATAGTAGAGGGCAAGACTGGGTTGACCTCTGCACCGGCCACGAAGAAGATCTTTACCCCTGCTGCTGGCTGCAAACCAATAGGCATGGGGAGTGGAAGCATATGTCATACCAGATCTCTACTTACTATAATAGCGATACAGCTGATGATTAGTATCGTTGAAGACAACTGTCTAAAATGTTACCACAATATCTATTATAAAGAAGGTGTAATACATGTCTTTAGAGTACACAAAAATATGAATAAAGCGTGTTATAACAAAGATGAATGAGGAACTTGTGTAGAAGGTGATAAACAATATTAGGTGGCTACCAATTTGGGACTGACAAGAACCAGACTAGGGTGGGACTGCCCAGAAGGTGAAGAGTGGATTTGTTGGGATATTTTATCCAGAGACAAAAGCCAGAATTTAATAAAGGAAGAAATTGTTACCAATAATAAACCGAAAGTGCAGCAGAATAAAACACCACAATCATTACTGAATAATTTGTATCTTGCCTTAAAGCAGAAATTGACCAAAGATTTAAAATCCCCCTTGGAAAGACAAAATTAATTTATTACTCTAACAGAGAAAATAGCAATCGAGTTTAACCTTACTCGTTGGGTTTGTGGGGGACCCCTAAGGACTGGAGAATCGTCTTGGAAAGGTACTGCCCTAAGTGCAAAAGATATACTTAAATGGAATTATACCCTTACCACTAGTGAGATAAGTGGGCCAGAAGGATGGGTATTGAGCTTTACAACCATTGGGGTAGATTGTTTGCAATAGAAGCCCCTTGTTCACAATCAGTTGGGGATACCCCCAGTAAAAGAATTTTTAAGTACAAATTCAATCTCTGGTAAATATGTTCCCTGAGCCCCCAAGAATTATTTGACTAACAAAAACCCTTCCGACTGTAAATGGATAGGAAATTGGAAATTGCACAAATGCAAAGGAACAAAAATAAATCCCTTCTCAGGAATAAGTGAAATTTCAAAACTCCAGGAGAAGATAGACCGTATCTCCGAAAAATTTTGGAAAGCACTGGATGGACTTTTTTGGATATGTGGAAAAAGAGAATAACTCTTCTCCCAGGAAAATGGACAGGACGCTGTACCCTAGGGTTAATACAACCTGGGTTTTTCTTGTTACTTTAGAAAAAAGGAATGAGCTAGGGGTTCCACTGTATGAGAGTTTAAGACAGAGAAAGAGAACAATTAGAAAAACGCAGGGATAGGAGAAAGATAATTGGTCTCCTCAAAGAATTATAGAAACATATGACCTGACCACCTGGGCATATGATGGCAGCTAGAGCTATCGAACTCCTATTTATATGATTAACCAAATAATGCAATTGCAAGCAGTAATTGAAATAATTACTAACCAAACCATACAAGGCTTGGAGTTACTGGCTTGCCAGCAAACCCAAAGCAAAGCAGCCATATACCAGAACCGGCTGGCGTTAGATTACCTCTTAGCAGAGGAAGGAGGGGTCTGTGGTAAATTCAATACTTCAAACTGTTTTTTACAAATAGATGGCAGCAGAAGAGCAATAACCAATATAGCAACCAATGTCTGGAAAACAGACCATGGATCGGAGGGATGGTGGACTAATTTATTTGGGAAGACATGGCGGAAACAGCTGAGCTTCCTTCTTTTGTGTACCTTTGTTGGACTGTTACTTCTGCCTTGTTTAACTCCTGTTTTATAAAGTTAATCCTTAGTGTAGTTCAAAGAATGCACCTGACCACCATATCGATGAATATGAAAGACGCTGCAGCTGGAAACCTGGAAACGCAGAAGATCATGGTCCTACGCCCCAGCTCTAAGCAAGTGAAAAATAAGACCAAAGCATTAGAGACACTAGCGGAATGGGAACAATCTCAAAAGGACAATGAGAACATCTAATATTTAGCTTGTAATAAAATTATGAGGAAAAGAAAAAGGGGGGATTGTAAGAAATAAATGAAATGGTTTTATTACAAGCAGGGTTTCCATGGTTGCCTCGCGATGAGGAGGTTTTGGGACCAGGGGTGTTTTGCAGTTGCCTGTGGCTGCAATTCTGTTGCAGCCATGACATCCTGATAGTTGTGATCATGTTACTGTTGCTTACTTCGAAATTTTAATTAGGGATATTTCTCACAGTTTGGTCTGAAACTGGTCTGATCGTGCACCTGTGCAAATTCTGCACTGCAGGACGTGCCATCGGCTGTTTTGCAAGCGCGGCATGGGAGCCGCGATAAAGCCGCACGAACCCACATGCAAGGCTTGCACAGATATTCCCTAAGTAAGGCACACCCTTGGGACATGGAAAAAAAAGCATTATCTGAGCCAGACTTTTTAGGCCAGACTGGAGGGAAAAGGCCAAAAAGATAAACCGAAGATCACGCACACCTGATTTAGGTGGAATTAGGTTAGTCGCTGAGGTCTATAAACAAGCAGGACAGGGCACATACACTTTCCTGTGGGGTGAAGGGCCTCACAAAACGCGCCTTGGAGAAAAACTCCCGAGCTAGCAGCAGCAAGGGTCTGTGGCTGTGTGTGTTGGGGGGGGACAGGGTATGTGTCTATGTGCCAGTCGGCCCGCCTGCAGCGCGGCTGCTCTGCCAGCCCCGCCTCCGCCGCCCCGTTCCCGCCCGAGCCCGGGGCCTAGCCTGAGCTCGGGGCCGCCGCAGGGAGGGCCCGGGCCTAGCCGCCCCCCCGCCGCTCACCGCTTTGGGCAGCCGCCGGTAGAAAAGCAGATCCCAGTCCCCGTCACGCTCTGCCGCCATGGCCGCGCCTGTGCCGGCGGAAGGCGGGACACGCGGGGTCACGGTGGCGACACCGCCCCGGCACGGGGGCCCGCCCTCCCGGCGGGACATGCGGGCCGACACTCCCTGGACAGCGCAGGGCCGGTGCCGCCGCTCCCTCTCGCCTAGGGAGCGAAGTGAGATCATGACAAACACTGTTCGTATTTAATGCCATAAAAGCTTCGAGTTGTAGTTTATTCAAGCAATACGATTTGCAGCCCGACTGTGCTGCAGCAGCGGCAGCTTCACAGCACCGTGCACACACTACCAGGAATTTACCGCTACTACACAAAGTTAATCTTCTGTAATGGCACTAGTCCGCCACATTATCACGTCCCGAAGTCCTACGTGGATAAACTCATGGATTACATTGCCAACCCCTTTTTAAAGCAATTTGGCAAGCTTGCTAGCACAATAATAGGAACTGTAACTTTTCACTGATATGAAGGTCAAACCCAACTAAAACAAAGAATGATAAAAAAAACCCTCAAACTATTTCAATTATTTAATGTTTAGCTTTTAGTGTTTCTGCAAGCTAATTCTAACCCTCCCCTAATTTTAAGTCAGGTCCATAGGCAAATGTTAGCTCTTGCTATGTCCTAAAACAAGAGATGAATATAATTAACATTATAAAACACGGTGATCTACATAATACCAGCATAATTCAGGCAAATAAAGAATCCTCCCACAAATACAGAAAAATTACTGACATATTTAGGAAAGTAAGCTTTAAAGTTAAATTTAAGCATAGAAATATGAAGTAAAAAAATTCAATATTCAAGTTAGGTTGCATCCCTTTTGGGGCCTGACAGATCATCCAAGTTCAAGCACAGTGCCGAATCTGGTTAGCTGTTCAACTTTTTTCATAGAAAAATAACATATCCATAGAAGAAATTAAATTAATTTCGACTTACTCAGTGATCCATTCTTTTATTTCACCTTAGTAAAAGGCAAACCAAGTACAGATACTGTACATTAAAATCTATGCACATAGAACAAACAGTTGTTCTTCATTCTACCTTAAAGGCTCAAATCTTCATCTTCTTTTTTTTATTTAAAGCCCTTCCCAGGCAGTGACTTCTCTGAAATATACTGCACCCACATTTAAATATAAAGAGAACCATCTGCAGGTCCCACATAGCCAACACCTATGAGCAGCACATCGATCAGTGTCCATATTCCAAGTCCTCCAAAGCTGAAGAGTTTCCCCAGACCTTCCCGCCACTGGCCCAAATAGAAACGATCGGCACCAAATCCACCAAGGGTGATGCTAAAAGAATAAAAATATGATTCATTATTATTATTTTTAGAGGAGCTCAGTTTAGGCATCCATACACACTGACATACCTACAAGCCAATGATTGTTTTGCTCTACATCATTCAAGAAACTACACATTTTTTGTAGAAAAAGAACAGTTATTTAATAAGAAAAGCTCTGGACAAAATACTACTATTTCTTAGCTCATTAAGACTATGTAGAGACTTCAGGTTTTTGTTCATGACAAGCAAGAAATCCAAAACTCTCAAATTCATAAATGTGTCTTGACTCTTCTAAACTAGCAAAAGGTAAAAACCTGCAACGAAGAAGCAATAGTAAATTCCCAAATGCTACATTCAGACTCACACAGGAGCCAGGCTACAGTAAGTTTCTCCAGATGATGGCAGCGAGAACAACTTGTCCTCTAAAGGGAAGTATGTCAGATCATTTCCTTAATCACAGACCTACTGTATCTTAGGCTCCAGGAACAGTGTCCCTACCTAATTTATCATATTAACACTTCTGAAATATTAACATTTGGTGAAAAAGGTCACATCACCAAAAGAACTTCAGTTACTTTCAAAGTGCTATTGTGCTCTCATCACTTACTCAAAAAAGAACCTAAACTGTTTGTTTCAATATTGCTTCCCTGGACTCTTCCCTAATAATTGGAAATACAAGAAACTTGGTCTGGAGGCATTTCTAGCTGTAAGAGCTGGGAAGGAACCCCTAACAAATGTATACAAACTACAGCCAGCTCGGTGACACCTATCAAATTCAGAACCAGCTGCATTCAATAAAAATGCCAAGTAGTAATATGAGCAATTTCCAGCCCTAATTGTCTAAAAACAGAAAAAAATGTAAGAAAAAACTAAAAATCTGCAGATATCACCATACAAATAAAAGCCAAAATGTCCACTCTACTCAAAAAATTGATCACTCTGTGAAGCCTAAGAATCATTGGCATTTACTCTGAAGAAAGTACATTTAGAGCAGAAATAGGGTAACTGTTTTCTCTCCAGCTCTGTTTACTGAAGAGAGCCAGGATTGTTGCATGTGAAACCTTCAGGCACAATATGCCCACACATTCCAAGCTATTCCAAGACTATCTGAAATATTGGTTATTCAGTGCACTGTTAAAAAAATACCAAGCAGAAAACAACACAAATTGAAGATTTCATAGACAACTAATCAATTTTAGCTTGACATTATCTAATAGTTCTTCTGTACCTTAGTGCCAAGGCAGTAGACCACTTATAACCTCCAGTCCAGTTGCAATAGAGCATCTTAGGAAAGACACGGTTACCTAAATATTAGAAAACATAAAAACCTTATTGTAATAAACAAAGACCATATAATGAGTAAGAAAACGACAAGCAAGAACACACTGTATTTCTCCAACAGGGGTCTAAAAGGGTTGACACTGACAAAACAGCTGACAACACAATAAACACCCTACAGTTCCCAGTTCCATCAATCTTTGTCCCTTCATCAGAAAAGCCACTGAACAAATAGAGAAAAAAATTAAACTAGTTGGGTGGAACAAGCATAAATTTCTTTAATTACCCTACTGAAACATTTGATATCAATTCTATTAGTGATGTCCAAATAAGTTTAACTCATACAAGTTGACAAAAATAAAAAGAATTATTTTCTCTTGTGTGACTGTATACAACAGTATAATGAGACAATGTTTGCAGTTACATGTCACTATTCTGCTCGAAAATGAAAACGTAACTATAAAAAGATTCAACAGATTAATGAGGGTCCAGGCTGTTACTGCAATGGACATAAACACTGTATTCACCCATTACAAAAACTGTTAAGAAATACTTTGGAAAAAAGCTGCTTTGCAGAATCAGGCTTAGCCTCCCTTACCTAGACAATGAATGTGATCCCGGACTGTGCAAGTGGCATTGTATCGTTGTCGTGGGCAGGACACTGTCATGCAGTTTGTGGAGTTGGTGCAGACATAGTCACTTGTGGCAAGCTGCCAGCAAAACTGGCATGTCATGTTAATTGTGAAGTTCTCCTGCTCGTGGTTATTATCATCCTGTAAAAGGACAGCATTATCACTTCCATAGTACTGAAAACAAAATCAGTGTGCAGTATCCAAGTACATTTTGGGCAAAATTACTCTGTTTGCTACTTCTTTTATGTAGTCACGTATAATCAGAAAAATCAGTATCAGAAAACCAGGAGTTATTAAAGTCAAGTTTAACACTTCTGATTCCTCCAATCTAAGGCTGCTTCCAAAAGGAGGACTCATTCAGTCTCACCTATAAGGTCAGTTTGTAGCTCTGATAGATATTTAGTCTCCCCACTCTCAGAATGGTTGGACTGGTTCAACTCAATGGCATGGCCAAGTAATGAAAAGATCCAACACAAGAAAGGCAAACCACAGAAGGGCAGACTTGCCTCTTCAGCAACAGCCTACAGTGGTGATCAAACACATCACAGAACAACAAACCAGCCTACATCAGAACCTGGACATCAGTGTTCTGGATTTTAAAACAAGATGCCACAGTTCAATTACTTAAATTTGGGATTAAAAGTAGCAGGTTACTTACAACACAATGAACATGTGGCTTGACCTTGCAATCAAAAGTGGCTGGCTTCCCATATATGCAGGAGTAGTTTGTGTTGCATGTCATGCAGTCTGGTGGCAACCTACTGCAAAGCCCGTTGCTGGGACATTTAACGATGTAAGGTGGAATTTCCGTGCTTTCTGAAAGGGGCAAAAAATGAATTAAGAAACTGAATTAAAAGAGCTAAATAGTCTAAAGTATATATAGCATATTTAAATATATATACATATATAAACACATATATAAACACAGACACGGTATAAAGGGCTTTCCTCACTACACACTGAGCACCATTCCTGGCCAGAGGAGCCACATAGTGCAAGCAGGGCACCCACCAAGGACTCTCACACAGAACCTGCATAGAGGACACCACGGCAACATTTCAGCAGAGAACCAAAACAGAGCTTACGTGGATTAGTGCCACCTCAGCCTACATTTCTCAGAAGTAATCACTTTAATATAGCAGCAGGGTGACATGGGTAACCTACTTTTAGTTCAGCTGTAATTAAGGTTACAGCTTACTCAGCCATTTGCTGTTTGCAGGTGCACAGAATCAGCTCTCAGGCTGACTGAAATGCTGTTCTTGCCAGCAGTTCTGATGCACCCTCAGTGAGCTACAAAGCTGTGCTGATGGTAGATAGGGAACAGGAACAAGTTCTTGCAGAATGCTGGAGTCTTTCAAGAACTTCCACCATCCTGACAGGATATAAATCACATCAATCACATCACAATGGCAGTTTAACCAGCCATTTTCTAGTTCTTATATGGGCCAATTATCTAATTAGAAACGAATTGTTATAGCCATTGAAGAGTAATTCATAATGTGCTATATTACAATGCCTCTTACCACTGAAAGCATATGAAAGCATATACAGGTTTCTAAGACATAATTCAAGACTCAAGACACTGAGAAGGGCTCACAGACAACAAAGAAACAACATAAAACCATACCTTTAAAATAGGGAGTATTTGTACTTGCTGAAGTTAGGCTTTTTGCCAGTGTAGACTGTGGCTGAGAGAGCTTTGTTGTCATCAAAGATCCCGCTAGAAGAGAAAAATAGAGAAAGTGATATTTCTAGGATAAAATTAACCTTCAGAAACAGTTTGATTTCAGCACACTAATATGAAAATACAACTGGAAAGTGTGAGGAGATTAGAAAAGTCTGCTTTCCTGTTCTCTTAAGAGTGGGATGTTTATGTTAAGCATTAAAATGAATATTAGAGCAGAACTGTTCCTTTAAGACATGGAATTACATTTATTTTCATTCAGTCTTATTTTTTGATCCATGAGAATTAAAAACACTGCTCAGAAGGAAGATTTTAACAATACCGTTTAGTGAACCAATGCAGATAATTCTTTGGCAGCTGGAATAGAAGAACTGGCCAGCAACGCCGGCTGTGTTTGTGCAATAACTGCGCTCTGGTCTGTGAGACGCTCGGGGCTGTGCAGAGCTGCGATGGGCCACCTCGAGCCCTCACAAGGGAAGGAAGGGTGAACGGATTTGTCACACCCACCCACTCAGACGGTGTTGAGGAGCCCCAGAAACTCGCCAGGTACGTTTTGAGTCAGACACGTTCCCGACAAGGCGCAGCACAAAAGGTGCTGTGTAACAAAGGAGCAGACGAGCGGGGCCTGGCTCGTGTTCTGCCCTAACACCGAGCACCCAGCCCCGCAGCACCGGCACAACAAAACGCGGCCATGTCCGAAGCACACGGTTGCTTCTCCAAGCCAGGGAAGCGGCAGCGCATCCTCCCCCCCACCGCGGCCACGGTCACCTCCGCAGCGGGACCCGTCGGGCGAGCTCGGCCCTGACCGCGGCCGCTCAGGACAGCAGTCCCCATGCCCGAGGCGGCTCCCCTGCCCCCTCCTCGTACCCCACCTGCCCCGCTCACCGCGGCCGGAGAGGACGGAGAGCTGGGACAGGAACAGCGCGGCCCCACAGAGACCGCGCAAGGCCCGTAGCACCCACAGCGCCGCCATCTTGACCCCGCCTGCCGGGCCCGCTGGGGGCGGGGCCCTCACACCCGGCGTCAGGGGCGGGAGGCGACTCACCCCGACTCGGTGACTGCGGACACGGTGTCTGCCCCTGCAGGCTACCGGGCAGTGCTTTCTGCCCTCTGCCCTTCTCTCTACATATTTCTCCCCGTAGGGAATTTTACATTATTTTTGTTGATTTCTATTTGATCTCATCAATACATATAAATACCCCAAAAGCGGGTGCCAAGAGGAAGGTGCCAAACTCTTTTGGGTGACAGGACACGGAGCAAGGGCCGTAAACTAAAACACAAGAGGTTCTACCTCAACATGAGGAAGAACTTCTTTATGTGCAGGGTGGCAGAGCACTGGAACAGCTGGGCGGCAGGAACAGAGAGGGCGTTGAGTTTCCCTCGCTGGAGACATTGCAACCCAGCTGGAGGGTTCCTGTGTCACCTGCTCCAGGTGACCCTGCCTTGGTAGGGGGGGGTTGGACTGGGGGACCTCCAGAAGTCCCTTCCAACCTAAACGATTCTGTGTAGTTCCCTGACCTCTCTCCTTGCTGCAGGTCATGTGAAAACTGAAATGCCAAGAGCATTGATACATGTGGGCTAAAAAAGTTTGATACTTGCAAAACCTAGTAATTCGCTGTAAAAAACCCAAAACCAGTAGTTGAATTCTGCAGTCTGAATACATCACACATGCACCACATAAGCTCTACTCCAAACAATTTTATACAAAAAATATAGATCTAATATATAATTATATATTATATAATCATATATAATGTATAATTATATAATATATAAATAAAAATCACGTTCCACATCCCATGTTAATTCTGTTAAGTGGAACATAAAGCTTTCCCACCACTCGTTCCTTCTATTTTTTTTTCCTTTTCTTCTAAAAGCAGGAGATAAAAAGAGATGCACAACCCAAATAAAGACCAAACTAAATACAGGCCTATTGAACACAAGTCTGTACAAGTGTCAGGCAGAAGTAAAACACAAGCTTTGCATCTGTGTAACATTTATGCACTAAACATTATTTTCTGCTTTATGGCTGTGGCATTTAAATCACAACTATAGCTGTATAGCTTAGATAACTGAGCAACACATTTAACACTATCTAAGCCAGTCAACTACAAAAGTGCATATGAAAGTGAAATCAGGTAAAAATTAATCTTCAAAAAATGCAGTTCACTTGCCTGCAACAGCAACTGTAACAATAATTTATAAGCATAAATGGAACAAATATGGCCAATTTAAATTCCAACGTGCTGTTTTAATATCAGAATTATCCTCTGCTCCTTCTCAGTGTTCTCAATATCCCCGGAATGCTACAATAAATTACACACAGAAAGGTTTTTCAAAGTTTTTTTGGTTTAGACAAAAGCCAAATCAACAGCAAATACAGGAAAAAATAAACACTTGACACACAGATATTGGGAGTAATTCAACTGCATTCTTGGCAACCACTTTTACACCAACCAGTTATCACACTACGCCCATCAATACCTTGTTTCACTGAGATCACTGAGACTTCCAAAGACACCAAAGTACTTGTAGTCTGTGAACAGATTCTGAAACAACCAAGCTATTCCCTCCATGAAAGTTTTTTGTTACAATCTGGAGCTAGAAAAAAAACTAAACTAAACTGCTCTTCAGGCACCAACCAACTCCCAAGCTCTGGATTCTGTAACACAGGTATGCACCTGACCCGTGACTGAGGGACCTCAGCATTCCCACAGCAGCCACTGCCCTTCTCAGCCTCCTGTTCCCTGGGGTCATGCAGCTCTGATTTACTTCCACAGCAAACTCAACATATCTTATCAGACAGAGGTGTAGGACTTTGTGAGCAAGCATTCTCCAACTCAGGCAGAATGGAAACCCATGCAATTGCTAAAGGAGTTGGCAGGTGCATCTGTCCTCTCATGCTTTTCCTGGAGCAGCAACAGTGCTATATTGGCTTATTTTGTGTATCCACTAACTGAAAATTCTCTCAGATGAGCATCACTGCTGTGCACAAGAAACAGCTAATATTTTCTTTTCCCCAACAAGCAATGTCAGAATTCTTCTTCTGCATTTGCAATATGTGAACTCTTAAGTTTTTTGAGTTTTTCAATAGCAGAAGATACTGAAATCTCTCCATGAACTTTGTTGTCTCTTGTTCGCACGTTGACAGCATTATTTGCTTTCTCCTTTTCTCCAACCACTGGAAGACATAGAACAAAATATGAAACTATTTACATGTGTCTCTAGATAAACTCTATGTCCAACATTAAAACTTAAGTGATATTCAACAATATAAGATGCTGCAATTACCTACCTAAAATGAAGTTATACTGAGCCAGCTGTGCATTTCTAATTTTCTTGTTTAATGTGCAACTTTGATCTAGATCCACATCTGACATAAATCCAGCTTCAAAAAATTGGTTGCAAACCTAAAAAAATCAAACCAAGGCACTCTAACTATTACTATGTATTTCAAAACATACATTTGTACATGCTATAATTACTGATCTCTCCCAATAATTAATTCATGTATGTACATAATTTTGCTCTTGTGAATCACTGCAGAGAATTCAATGACTATCTGAAGAAAACTGAACACCCACTTAAATGCTTAGCAGGACTACAGTTGGAAGACAGTGTGAGGTAACATCCATATCAAATACGTGCTGCTGTCCTCAGGTAGCTACACTGCTCAGTGTTAAAACCGTGTCCTCAGTCTGAGAAAGCAGAAAAATCAGAAGGAACAAATCCACTTTTTCTTATATTAAAAGAAAAGCAGGGGAGAGGGGCAAAACCAACCATGGTCAGAAGTGATGCAGTCAAGAATATACATGGTGGGAAATGGATGAAACTGGCTCTGTCCCTATTTTAGGCTAATAGTAGTGTAATGAAGCATTAGTTGTCATCCAGAATGTTTTTTTCCTTTAATAATTATGTCCATAATAACAGAACTAAAACCACTTAAAGTTACATATTCCTTACTCAGGCTTACACAAGCTTTAGACTGGAAATTGTATATTGAAAAAAGTACTTCTCCCTCCCCAAATATGTCTTCAAAATCATTAAAGCATTCATTCTCTGTTCCAGAGGATCTATTAGAATTGCCCTGCTCTCACCTGCTGGGCATACTCTTCTGATGTCGGTCCCACGGGCACCACCATGACCTGCCGTGGGGACAACCAGAGTGGCCTGGAGAGTGTGAGGGACACATGGGATAAATGTCCACTTGACATATGCATTCATAGTCACAGCCACATTCCACAATAACAATTTCATTACTTTATAGAAATCTTTATGTTAGCTATGTTGGATAGTATGTTATCTTTGTGTTTTCAAGTTCACATGAAATAGCAAATGGATTGATTCCAGTAAAATGACAAATGCAGAACTTGGACTTTCTGTTATCTTTCTACCTGATTTCACACTTCTAAACAGAATATTTTAAAAATAATTTTCATTTTTATTTATAACTTTACAGTCAAAAGTGGACAGTCAGATCAGTGACTGAAACTAAGAATTAACTCTTCCTTAATACTTTAAACACATTCATGAAAAAATACCTTCAGAGCTTATTCAAGATAAACCAACCCATCTTAGAAGTACAAAAAATATTTCACATACTAGGACTAATTCATGTCTATATATATATAAATATATATATATAAATAATTGCCTTACATATGTTTGACGTCTTCCCAGTACAAAAGCATTATTTTTAAGAAAAAAAAAGGGAACAAAATAATGCAGGACTTACACATTCAATTACAATTCTTATTTCTGCATTATTCTGCTTTTTTTCTGCAGTCTCATGAAATTGAATTTCTAATAACAAACTAGTTACAACTCAGACCATAAAATCTGACTTATTTTCTTGTAATCTTACCTACTAGTTTTGAGAACATTCTAGGGATATTATTTTTGCATTATAATATATGGGACAGTAGGAAGGATCTCAACTTTCTATATTGTTAAACACTTCTTAGAAGTCCATGTGTGCTACATACCATTTTCCTCCATAATTTTCTGCTAGAATAGCTATCATCCTCTCCACAGATCCCAAAATAGCCCTGTGAATAATCACTGGCCTTTTCTTATCATCGCCATCCTTACTGAAAAAAAATCCAAACAAAACCAAGTAAAGTTTTTTTAAAAAATGAAATTATCTTAGCTCACACACATGTAATCCTACTAATATTTTTAATTCTGCTTTTAACAGAAAGACAAAATTTAGTTAGTTCTACTTAGGTAAAATCTACTCTTTTTATTAAAAATGTATTTTAAGTCATCCAGGCTTTTAAAGGAATACTGAATAATCACAGTGACTTAAAATAATTGTGTCTATAGCCAGTGGCGTAGACACTAACTCTTAAATTTGAAAAGCCACTAGAATGATTCAGCACCATTTCTGCGCATTTTAATATTTTATGTTCTTCCTTGTTCCACTATGACTTGCTTTTATTTTGTTGCACAGGACCTCACCTTCCCTTTTGAACCTCACCTCTTCATTACTTTGCTTAAATTACAATACTGTGATTAAAAAAAAGCCAGCTGTTTGCAGCAGTATCATCACCTACTAAAAAGCTATGGCATCTACTGTAGAACACAAAGTGGGATCAAAAATAATAAAGATTCTTATTCCATCTTCCCTATCTGTATCTTGATAATATGCAAAAAAAAACACTACAAGAAAAAACAACACAGAAAATGTGTATTCAAATTAAGATGATATTAAGATTAATTTCCTTAGTGAATAAAAATCCATCTTTCTAGCTGGAAGCCAAAGTGAGATTTTCACTAAAAACTGTCTGTAATTGGTTTATGTTCAAAGTTAACTAGTTTAACCCAATAAAAACAAAGGAGTACTTAGTACAAACATAGCAGCTCCTTAACGCATATTTGAATTTGTATGGTATGTCTTCCAAGAAGACACTATGACTAGGCTGAAAGTGAAAACTGACTCAGTTGAGGTTTTGTTAGTATTATATATGATTCAGAACTGGCAGACAAGAC